ATCAAATCATTAAAAAAAGGTTATGGATTTTTCACATATGCTTTACTTAATCACACCAACGTCAAGAGGATAATTGCTGTCGAAAATCATAGTCAAAGTGTTGAAAATATTAAAGTAATGATGCATGTCCGATTGAGCTTTCATCAGATGAAGTGAATCACTAACCAACATAATGCCTCGTCACTTAAGAAATTATCAAAAGAATCCGATGGCCGATTAGAGGTGCTGGTATCTGAAAATGAGTCGGAAACGTTTAAACAGTTGCAAAAAAAAAATTTGACTGTGCATCCTTGGAAAGAAGGTGAGAGATGAGATCGAAATTGGGAATATGATGATTGGCAACATCTTAATAACGTGTTGTCGTCAATTCATTTTTTCTACATCCAGTTCATCCATCATTGTTTGCCGTGGTCCACGTGCCTAACAAATCCTCGGGCGCAATCATGATAAAAAATTATTTGAACCAATTTCACGAGAGAACTGGGCTCCAATCGTTTGGTCGAGTACGAATGAATTTGATCACTCCTTCGTATGTGGCTGAGGTGAAGTGAGAGATGTTAAAATTCCAACAATTTCGGCGAGAAATTATAATAAAATTTATACTTGATGGCATCCAGAAGGTAGAAGCATCAGTTGGTGATATCAAGAGATGCAAAACAAGCTTATTTAGGGAAGCATTATCTGACTTTGAGATGTTGATGGTGATTCCGAACGATGCCTATACCCCGAAGGTAAGTGTTTGCTCTTTATAATTTTGTAGTAACATCATTTTCATATCCATTCTCACCGTTAAATTTAACATTTTCAAATGACTTCAGCACTTACACGTGGTGTGCAGGTGAACAAAATTTAAACATTTGCTTTCAAAGTTATCATCACGTATGATACTAACTAGATGTTCATAAAATTTTTGAAATACATGATGCTTGCACGGTGAGTTTTACATGATACGTAAGATTAAGTCATCTTCTGTAACAACATGTATTCATTTTTTCGTTTCATTTTTTCGCAGCATTTACGCTTTATGTACATATTCATTATGGTGAGTTCATATATCATATAAAGGTTATGAAAAAGCCTTCCTGTCAATCTCAAAATGCATCGTGTAAAATAAATAGCAATAAAAAAAAAACACGAAAAGACACGCATGAATTACCAACCTGCAAATAAGATGTAGAAGAATTATGGAATATCTATGAGCACTTTTCGTAGATGGAACGGACATGAAAATGTTCGAGAGTCACCATGCCGAGGGGTGGAAAATGGTTGTATTTCGTCACGGAAATCGACCAAATGTATAATAAGGAGAGTGCGAAGAAGAAAAAGCTTTAGGTTATGCACGAGTATCTAGTGAAAAGCAGAAAGATGATATTGAAAGAAAGCGTGCATACCTCACTTCTAAATTTCCTGGTCAGATCTCAATTAGATTCATGTCCATTCTGGAATGAGTGTACGCAAGAAATTTCGAAAAAGTCGTGGTTACCCGCAAGGACAATTTACACACAAGCTCGTCGAGTGAATTTTCAGAAACATGATTCTCGGTACGGATGTTGAATCAATAGATCAAAACACAGGAGAACTTATAGAGGATCTACTATCTATCGTCACGGTGTTCACAGCCAGACAATGGTCTTAAGACTGCCGCAAACAAAAAAGGAAGACAAGAGATTGAAGGCGCACAAGATCCGCATGATCAAGAAAGAGAAACGTTGAAGAACATACTGATGAACATACAATCGATGCCTCAATCTGATAAGAGAAGGACGTAAAACCAAAAATATATGAGAAAGCGAGTGATTAATAATGATAACTATCAGCTTAAAAAATGCTTAGGCGAAGGAAACTCCTGGTGTACGCGATCGTGTCGCCGTACGAATTGCTAATATCGTACGATACAATCTTAAATCAAATAAGAAAAAGTATAAACCGCAAACAATTACTATTGAAAAAAGTAATATGCATTTCTTAAGCATATCAAGACTTCCGAAGAACTTCCTGAAATAAGAAATGCCATTAATATCACGCGAGACAGACTGGGTCGATTCTAGTTACGTGTACGTACCGTCGGAAGAAAACTATCGAGAAGATAATGATTTCATCTCGATCGATCCTGGCGTGCGCACATTCTTGACGGGATATGATCTCAATGAAAAAATTATTGAATGGGTAAAGGAGACATTGCGCACGTTTCCAGGCTATGCAAGAGATATTATAAATATCAAAGCGAGGTATCCAAAATTGAGGTACACGCTAAAGAGAAAAATGCTGAAAATACATGATAAGATCAAAAATATCGGGAAAGATTGCCATCACAAGATCACATAGAAATTACAATATCATTCTTCTTCCAAGATTTGAAACAAGAAAGATTCAAGACTCGAGAAACAAAAGTCTGATGATATCAGAAATTTTAAAAGAAATTCAATTGAAAGATCAAGAGCAAGACTGCGAGGATGATGTTGACATGGTCGCATTACAAGTTCCAACATCATCTCACGCACAGTATCAAAGAGTACCCCGGTCGATTGTTGATTCTCTGTGATGAGCATTACACTTCCAAGACGTGCGAGATTTGCGGAAACGTAAAGGACAATCTCGGTTGTGCAAAGGTTTACAAATGTGCTCGATGCGATTTTGAGATTGACAGGGATCACAACGCATCCTTAGCATGCTAACGTTCGTTCCATAACCGTGACGTTGATAATAAATAATTATTAATGTGGATGATCGGTTTTTCTTTAGGAGCATGATCCCGTTGATAAGATCGAAACTTGCGAATGGTTGGTACAGTCTATTTTCATTTATATCAAACTATGTTCCATCATCTTGTTGCACTCCAAGTATTCAAAACTTGTTGATATTCCAGTACCAATCGAAACATATGATTATGTTGTCAAAAGTATGTTGATGAAGAGACTTTCGCCAGTACGAGATATGTTGGGGTACGTTTGCTTTTTTATCCTTTCATTTTATTACTTTAATTTATTTAATATAAAATCTTGTCACCTACCCATCCAGAAAATTGGGAGCCGGAGCTGAAAACCTGAACATGAATTTATCATTTGACACACGCACCAGGGTGATGGATTTGACCGTTGACCAGTTTGTAGAATTAGCTTATCATTTTGAAAAATGGCCGTTCAAACCATTAGATTTTGATGTTAGTTCTATTGACCCTGGATATAATCTTCGTAAAAGAACGTAAGAAATTAATCTGACCGAATTCTCTGAATGTAATGCTAGTAATGAGCTGATTAAAAAATTGATGAAATAGAATGTATGATTTTTAATTAAGAAAGCTGTGATGCTTGCCTTTATGCAAGTTTATAAAGTGATGTAACATTTGTATTAAATACTACAAATATAGAGTTTTAAGGATTAAATCAAATATCCAACGCGTTTCTTAAAAAATGTCCGTGGACCTTAGTTTTTTCGAAAACCTCGATCTAACATTAGAGGAGGAAGCAAACCGAAGAGAAGTAGGATTCTCTTAAGCTAAAAAGAACCTTGGTCGTGCATGCTGCCTCACTGATTTCATATACTACGATTTTCACCAGGGAATACTTCGTCTGGTGCGAGAGTACGAAAGGACCTGCCGTAATATTACCGCAATCCTGAACCGAGCTCATTCTACTCAAACCGAAGAAGGCAACTCCTCAGAAATTATAAATGCAATGTTTAAAATGTATATGTACAAAGAAAACTTACTTGAATTACTTAAAAACGCAGTACCAACAATCGCACAAGCGGCGATTGAAAAATTTGAAGAAGTGAAGCAACACTTATCAAATATAGCCCAAGTAGTACCATATCAAAAATACTATAGGTCTGAGTAAAAAAAAAAAAAAAAACAGAAGAATTGCGCGTCGCTGAAAAATCTAACATCCTTTGTGTAGGTATAACGAACTTTGGACGAAGGTCGTTCAATCATCACTTTTTCTTGCATCTTTCGCCGTTTATCTTTCTTCAGAAAGGCTGATTACATCAGATGAAATTGAGTCAATGTTTGGTGGTGAGGTCACTTAGGGCATCAAAAAAGTGAAATCGTTTCATTTTGCATTTCATTTTAACAAGATTTTCTGCCCGAAAGTCAGGGTCAATTTGAAAAATGACCTACATGACTTTCACATCTCTCTTGACGAATTTCTTCATGGATATATCATGTTGACTAATGAACTGGTTAGCGGACATACAACTGAAATTTTCTTGATGGTTGAGTTAGACATTTATTTGATGTTCGTTATTCGCACTTTAGTCACGACTTGCAATCAACTCTGTAACGCTTGGAGATTATGATAGACCTCTGCGAATTTCGAAATTTGTTAAAGAGCTATATATGGGATTTCAGTTGTTGAATTTGAAGAATGATTCTTTAAGGAAAAAATTTGATGGAATCAAGGTAAACCCAAAATTGAAATTTGTATTCTGCTATTTTTTTTGATGTTATTCTCCCTTGCCTTTATGCATAAAGTACAATATCAAGAAAATTGAAGAAGGTGTGGGATATTTTAATAAGTTAATCAATGTTCGTCCTATTTCTGGTGCTGATTGTAGAATATATGAACTGTTTATTTAGTTGTCTATGACGTCTCCCTACGAGGATTGTCAGGAAATCAAACAACATCATCGAGCTGAATAAATAAATGATTTGAAGTGATGGGAATGTAGTGCGTCTATGAAGATATGACCGAATATTATCTTGAAAGTGTCTATTCGAACGAAACCCAATGTCACGAGATCTTCAAGTCCTTATTTGCATCAAATAAATTAAGAGCATTCATTGTTCAGTTTTTTCGCATATTGATTCGATTCCTGATAGATTCATTGTTTTATCCATTTCCTCATATAAACTGTTCCAAAGTTTGTATGGTTCGACGTATATTCCAGGATTAGGATTCTTAAAAGGCTTTTGCTCCGTATAATGCACCACATGCATATCAGGCAACAGCATTTTCCATAGATGTGGATTTAAATCCATTATCGAAAGATTGATGTTAAATGTTTCAGGAAGTCTTAGATATCTGAGGGATTAAAAAATTTCATTTCAAGTGTGATTATGATCATGCAAAGAATTGAAGAACGGATCAGAAATCAAACACTGACCTGTATCGAAAAAATTCATTCAAAAAAGATTGTTCGGCAAATCCAATATCGTAACTACCCTTAATCTTATGCGTTCGCATCATCTCGGCATAGACATACTTGTCAGGTTTAAGAAGCATAAAACCTGAGTATCGTAAAATAAAACAGTAATCAATGCAAGATCATTATTCCGTTCGTTACTTTTTTTTTTTTGTTTTTATTTTTACCGGCATTAAAATTATTTGAATCTTTTCCCCACAATACATCCGGAGCGGCGGCAAATTCAAATCCAGTCGATGGTTTGATCAATTCAAATAGTTGATCAACCCTTTTCACCACAATGGTATCCGAATCAAGGTAAATAATACCGTCTTTAAATTCGACGAAAGACCATATCTGAAGTTTTGAGAATTGATCAATAAATATCGCTGGGGCTCCTTCCCATGGCGGGGGAATCCGTTCTATAGCTTTCGTTTTCCAACCCATTGCTCGAACTTGACAAAGTGTGCTTTCTGACACTTTCTCTTTAAAATAGATTAAATACATTTCATGATTCGGGTGGTGTTTTTTTATCGTGTATCCCAGTAACATTGTGCCTTTTAGATACTCGTCGGAATACAAGGAAGTGAAAAAGGCGACATTGGATATTGTTTGATTGCTATTGTCATTAGTTTCCTCGATGGACGAGGAGTTGTATTTATTTCGACAAGTAATTGTATCATGGCAAGCGTAATCTTTACTGTAGAATGGTGATTCGTATCTTTGTCTCTTGATATTATCATATGTGAAAATTAAAAGCACTCCGAAAACAGCGAGTCCGCCAATTATGAAAAAACATTTTATGAGCAAGCGTGGCGGACCCTGTATTTTGAGGGATGTGTATTTGTAAGTTTCTCTCATTGCTGCAAACAAGAAACAAAGTGCCACGAATTTTATGTCATGCATACCTATAACAATAATTTTCGTTACGTCACCATTGCATATAGCTGTGGAGAAAACGCTTTATGTCATGTGCGGCTAAAGCTGCCAACAATTCTTTTTAGAATCATAAAAAATTAGAAATATGAATATTTAGCCATTTTTAATATTCTATTCTTTTTGAGAAACTTTAATTTTAGAAATATTAATTATACTGTATTTCTATCGTATAAAATGGCGTAAACAATGTTTAAGTAAACTTTTATTAAATCTAGAGAAATCTTGAAATCTTATTTACGTAATAAGAAATTTTACTCCTATTATAGACTTGATCTCTAATTTTATTTGTTACACTAATATGGTTGAATCGGAAATCCTTCTGGTCTTGTCTTTAATACTCATTGAACCATAAAATTATAAACAAACGGTCAGGCGCTGAGTAGCGTCTTTCACAAAGCGTTTTCCGTGTGATTAGACAGATCTTTTCAAAGTTTCGACTTTTCATAAAAAAAAAGAGACCTTAGCACGACAAATCCAAAGATCACATAACTCATTCAGAATGGCTACCTTAAACACTAGGAACTATTCGAATACTTTCCTAGGTTTAGCAACTCAACTTGGAATATCCGGTGGTATATTAGCATATTGTTTGTTACAGTTTGAATGGAATCGGCGTCAAAAGTCCATGAAATATTTATATTCTCCACGTACAAAGCTTTCAAAGTGAGTCATTTTTTTCCTGAAATATTGTGAAAAAAAAAAAGAATCTACAAATGTTTTTTAACATATTAAATTAATTAAAGAAATGCATCACCACCAATTCCTCCTGGTCTATTTTCTTGGATCAAGGTTTCCCTTTCTTTAAATGAAGAATTTTATTTGAAGAATGTTGGTTTAGACGCCGTGATGTACATTCGATTCCTAAAGATGGCATTCCAATTTTTACTATTTAACGTCTTAATTGTTGGCCCAATCCTTATTCCGATAAATTATTATGCTGGAGGCACAAATGAGGGAGTTGCTAGACTTTCCATTAGCAATATTCCTAGTGGCATTAAAGATCCGTTATGGGCTCATATAATATGTACATATCTGGTGAGCTTAAGTTGGATGTATCTTTTATATAAAAATTATTGTGATTACATAGATATGTTTAGGCAGCATCTCTTAAACAGGGTGAAAAATGACCCGATTACTGCTCGAACAGTGATGGTTTCAAGGATTCCTCCTGAACTGAGAACTGAAGAAAAACTTAGAGAGTTTGTAGAAAAGCTAGGCTTGGGACCTGTTGAATCGACTAGAATGGTACGGCACATAGGAAAATTAGATAGAAAGATAAAGAGACGAGAGGATGTTCTGCTAGCATTGGAAAAAGCTCACATACAACTCGCGAAAAATGTGTGTAATGCTATTAAGAGACGAAAATTTGGAATAGCAAGTTTGTTATTTGGTCGCAGAAATGACAATTCACACATGGCACTTGAATCAGGTGAGGCAAAGGAACATCAGAGAATTCAATCGATCATAGAGTGGCTGGATGTGCGTAAACGGAAATGGTCCAATAATAATGGAAATCAGATTTCGTCAGATCAAGATAATTTTACTACAAGAAATGCAACAGTAACTACAGCCAGCACCTTTGCTAATGAAGATATTATGGAACAAGAGGATGGATATGGTCGTCAATTTCTCATATGGAATTCCCTTGGTCAGATATCAAAAAAATTACTTGATAAATTTCAGCCAATACACAGAGTGGGATTTATGGGAAGTGGAAAAGGTGTTTTGTCGATCGACCATTTCATTAAAAAATTCAACTATTTGAACCGTCGTATTGCAGAACTAAGATCATTGCCAATCAATGCAATACCATATAAGGCAACAAGTACCGGCTTCGTAACATTTCGGGATCATATTAGCGCTCAACTTTGTGCACAAAGCATAATGTATTCAAAACCACATACATGTACGACAAAAATGGCACCGGAACCAAGAGATTTACTTTGGGACAACTTATTTATGAGATTTCGGGAAAAAATGATACGTACTGTTATCGTAAATATATGCGTCTGGTAAGTCATAATTGTAACGATACGATGATTATTAATAAGTATTAAATTTTCGTATCCCCCTTGGGAAAACATCAAATAGGGCTTTGACATTATTTTGGCTTTTTCCAATTGTTGCTTTTCTTACGTTGACATCTATCGATTCACTTTCCCGTCGTATTCAATTCTTGGGTCCGTTTCTAGAAGCTGCTCCTATAATCCGAACCTTGCTTCAAAATGTATTGCCAACAGTACTGGTTTCATTTTTCATGGCAATTTTGCCCTGGATTTTAATGGGTAAGTACAAATGAAATTTCTTGGGACACTTCATTTATTCTAACCCAAGTCCTTCTCGCCTTTCACCAGAGATTTCAAAACAAGAATACTTTCCATCTTACTCAGCTTTGGAAGAGGCAGTCCTTGTTCGACACTATTACTTTACTCTCTTCAATGTTTTCATAGTATTCTTGTTAGGAATTACCTTTTTACAATCAATTTTCGATGTCATAAACAGTCCGACAAGTATTTTTGAGGTTTTGGCAATTAATCTGCCGCAGGTAATTTTCCAAATCAATAAGAAAGTATAATTGAGAATTTCTAGGCAACTATTATCATATCTAATGTAAACCATCTTTTTTTTTTTTCGATGAAATTAAATCAGGGTGCAACTTTTTTCATCAACTATGTTATTTTCAATACGTGTACCCACGGACTAGAACTTGTGCAAGTCGGATCGCAAATTTTCCTTCACATAATTCTTACCTCCCGATTTGTAGCAACTACTCCACGTATGCTGCAACGCGTAACCCATCCCTGGGCTTTCCAATTTTATTATTATTATCCAAATCACATTTTAGTCCTCGTTATTACCATCACTTATTCAACTATCAATCCCTTAATTCTGGTCTTTGCCCTCATTTACTATGCTATTGCCCTTTTGGTATTCAAGCATCAATTTGCTTATTGTTACGTGCGCCGATATGAATCCGGTGGAAAGCTATATCGCCGCGTCTTTAAATATACCACTGATGGATTGATTATCTTCCAGATAACCTTCATCGGTATGATTTGGTTGCGCACAGCCATTGTTCCCGGAGCCTTTCTTGTTCCGCTTTTAATAGGCACAGGATATTTTAAATATTATTGTCACAAAACCTTTTACTCCAGGACACATTTCTTAGCTCTGGATACAAGGCTTGAGGTAGACCAAGATGGTCAAACTGATGTTGATATTCAAACGGAGAAACCTATTACCCAATCACCCAAATCATCCCAGGATAATGACGATTTAGGTGGAGGCGTGAACACTAAACCAAAAGAGAATACGGGAAGCATGTTTGGGAGGAAATCCACAAGTGACGGATTTCGTAGATTAGAAACAATTTCAGGGAATGCTAGTGAAAGTAGCACAAAGGATAATTTACCTGGAAAAGATCCTACTTCCTTGGAAAACAGAAGTTTGATTACTATGCAGACAAACAATCAACTAATGGAAAAGATTAATAACAAAAGGGATAGCAAAAATGTGTTACTCTGTCCTACGGAGAGCTTATCTAGATTTGAGAAGCTTGAACAAAATCGAGATGTTGACGTCGAATGTACAGCAGCAGCCATTCCGGTTAAACAATCTCAGACAACCGATGTAACGGAAATCTCTCCCGAATCAACTTCATACAAAAAAGAAATAACAATGGAAAAAATAGATAAAGATGACAATGCCTCAAACAGTGTAGCCAGACCGAAGATGAAGTTGTTAATTCCACCTGCGCTCAATGCTCCTTTAGTCTCGTCCCCCGACAGTCTCATGATGGGTGCTCATCGTATGTCTTCATACGGAAACTTCCGGGACGCCGTGCGTTTTACGCATAACCCTGAGCAAGATGATATTTCGCAATATCCGACATACACGCATCCTAATCTCGTAAAAGCCTTGAGCCGTAAACTTTGGTTGCCTCGTAATCCTTTCAAAGTGATATGCTTGGACGATACAGTTGAACTATATAGAGCATTAACTTCGAGCGAAGGTGGTTCTGGGGTAATTGGATACCTTGGCGAAGCCAGTACATACTTGGGCGAAGCTAGAGTTAGCATTTACGGAGAACACGAATTTCCTATTTCTCCACTTCATCAACGTGGTACTACTGGCGAATCTGATGTTCGAAAAATGAGGTCCGCTGAAGCCATTCATGATGGTAACAATGAAGGCAGTAATGAACATTCGCCTTTTGATTGCGCACTTTTTTCACCCGATGAAGAGGCGGTTGTAAGCTTAGGTGAGTTTGTAAGTGGAGAGTTGGAATCAGGTGAATTGACAAGCGGGGAGGAATATTAGCATGGGATAAAAGCATGCATTTGAAAGCTTTCTATAGATTGTAATATATCACGGGATATTTTCACGTACTAGGTCTAGGCCTAGAATGAGAAGTTTTTACTGTAACATATAATTTTAAAAACACTAGAATTAATTTTAAAAATAAAATTTACTGTCTTCGTTCGCACTTTATTAATTGCATATATTAAAATTAGTGCAAAAAAATTATTAAAATTTAGATTTCTAATCTTCTTAATCCTTACTTTAAAACTAATGTAAAAATTATTTTAAATAAAAGTAGTTGATATTATTAATATTTTTAGCTCATTTGGGCCTAAGCAAACTTGGAATATCAATTTCTGCTTTTTACATTTGAAGCTTATCTAGGCAAAAGGAAATAAAATTTGAAAAGTATTTATTTATGTCTTTCGTCCTAGATATCACTTATCTAAGATGCTTTGTGTTTACCTAATAAACTTTTAATATTAACTACACAATTTACTAAAGAAGCAAAAGATACAACTTTGGGTTTGATTACATGTTATTTCATTTTTAATCAAAAAAAAAAACTAATGAAATCACTATTAACAAATGTTTTCCAGCAATTTTTTATCATGTGTTAAAATTTATTCTCGATATTTCAAATTATTTATATTGATCTGAATAATCACTTATTGTTGAATCTTAATAAACTTTTTTTATACAAAATTAGAAATTTAAAATTGAATAACAATTTTATTATATAATGTATCTCAGTAACCATTGTATTAAATTTTTAATAAATTATTTTGATATGAAAATCCATAGCTTAAGTTTTAAAATAATTGTTTTTTTTTTTTTATTAAATAAAATTATACAATTATATACTGTATATATCAGTATGTATCAAAAAAAAAATTTATTTATAAAAAAAACAGATTAATATAAAATTCAATTGCTATTATTATCAGTTATAAATTGACAATAGTATTTCATTGATTTAACAAGATTAACTAAAATATTAATTGAAAATTTTTTGTTATTTTTCAATTATAAAACATTTTAATTTATTAATATTTGATAATAATGGCCTTTTCATATTATTTTAATAATTTTCTATAAATTTTTTATGGAATTAAAATCAAAATTATATATATAATTAAATTTTATTTGATTATAATAAAATTGATAAAATAAAATTAAGTAATTAAATTAATAGAATTTTATTATATAACAATTAAGTTAATAAATTTATTTCAAATTTTAATTGCATATATTTAATTTGCTTTATTTTTTTATTATTTTTTTTTCAGCAAATAAATATTATTTATTTATTTTTTATTATTTTTTTTTTTTTGAAGGGCTAAGTTGCGATACACATGTGAATTTTATTGTTAAATCAATTAAGATCACAATTACCATACATGAACAGTCTATTAACTATTGCTAATATTAACTCACGCTACTCATCCTTTTTTACCAGAATACCAACTTACATCAAGTAGGTGGGTCCATACCCTGGTTTATACTTATGACTCCTTACTTGTAAATATAAGGTAAGGAAAATCCTGTACCAACAGTGAAAAATCTTCCTAGCAGTCTCCTTTTTGGCTTGTGACCTGACTCTTTTCCAATTGGGTCACCAATCTGGATTGCATCAACATTAAATAGAAAGGTGGAGATTTAATTGAATTTCGAAGTCTGCCGATCCAGTTTGGGGTACTAGCTGATTAAGTACGACCTATATCAGGAAGCTAGCCAACCTGAATAAGAAGGATGGTGATATGGAGTTTGCCGTTCCAGTTTTGGGTTGTGGGCTTTTTTTATACCGGAGTTAGACCAGAAGCCTTGTCTCGTACAACCTTTCCTGTTTCGACCTGTTTTCAGCCTGCAATCGTCAGAAAAACTAAAGATCCTATCTTCATGCAGCCTAGCTTGATTTGGTGGATGATTTTCGGCTGATTGGGTATAACATGTATTGAAAGCCGGTCAACCAATCATAAAGGTGATAAATTTTTTGTAACCAGGTGTGTTTGAACCCTAGACCTTCTCCTAGTAACCTATGGAGCATTACCACTATGCTATAGACCCATAAATAAATATCATTTATTTATTTATAATATTATACTTGAAAAGCTATATATATTGTAAAAAAAATAATATCTCTTAAGTACAAAGTATATAATAAATTAAATACTAGCTTGCTTATATATTTATATTTAGCTAATATCAAAAAAGATTTAAAACAATATTATATATACTAAATATAATTGAATAGCAACTATACTTACTTATTTGGAATTTTTTAATTAAATATAAAAAAAAATAAAAAATAAAAGAAAATTAAAAAGAAAAATAAACTGAAGCTATAATAATATAAGTTGCTAAAATTAAAACTAAGTTACTTAAACTATAAGATTTATATAAATAAAAAAAATATCTAAAAGAAAGCCAATTGTTCAATTCTTATATTAGCTTTGATTTTAAAAATGTAATCTTTATTAATGGCATTAGATATATGTTTTTATTGAAATTATATTAATTCCAATATATCAAATATTCTTTATTATTATTATAATAACTAAATGCCAGTTTATTTACTTTTTATACTTGGCAATATGCTATTTACTCTTGAGATATGTTATATTATTTTCAAGAAAATCTATCTAGGAGATGGAAATCCTATCATATTTTTGTGCAGAAACAGTGAACTACTAATAAATATTTTTATAAGTTACCAATTACATTACATCTTTTTGCTTATGCAGCTAATATAAAAAATCTTGTCAATTTTTAAAAAGTAATTTAATTAATTTATAGTTCTTGTACTATTGTTTTATTATATTTTAAATAAAAAAAAATTTGCTTTCAATTATTATTAAAATAATTATTATTTATTTAATTTATTTTTTTTTATAAATATTAAAGTATCTATTGAAAAAATATTTTTATAATCAAGTTTTTTTAATTTTTTTTTTATAATCAAATATAATATAGACTTTTTATTAATTAAATCTTTTTTAGGATTTCTAATAACACTATTTTGATATCAAATCAATATTGAATTTATTATAAGTTGATATTATTTTGATATCCTTTTAATATTGATAATTATAAAACAAAAAATATTAATAAGTTTTTGAAGATTTTTTGAATAAATATATATTGTATTTCATAATTTCAAAAATGAAGAACCATTTGATATTGAAAAGTTAATCTAATGTTAAGTATTTTTTTTTAAAAAAAAACATTCTATAAAGTAAGACTTTTTAAATATATTAACACATGCAAGAAGTTATATAATGCCATTACTACAATTACTATATAATTATATTAATTAATTATTAAATTATTTTTAAATAAAATTTGTAATTTAAAAGGTCAATTTTTTTTTGATATATAACTGTATATATCAATATTTTGATTTTATTGAAAAAATTAAAATTAACATAATCAAATTTTTTAATAAAACGAATTATATGATCAATCAATATGATAATAATTTATATAATCTAAAAATTTAAGATTATTATTTTCCCATTCAAAACAATTATCCGGTTATACTGTATATATTATATAAAAATATAAAAAATTCAATTATATACTAAATATCTTTTATGATTCTAGCTTTAATAATAAATTAGTGATTAATTATTAAGATGAGGTAAATGCTAATTCTAATCCAATGTGCCAAATTATACAGTATATCTTTATTATATTGTATTGACTCATTCATTGTAGTAATTTCATAATTTGATTGGCATTCTTCTCATGATATGTACCAAATATAAGGCAGTGGTTAAAAGAGTTAAGCTACCTGCTTGGTGGGCAGAAGCCAAAGGGATTGGTACCATATATAGTAGAGTACTAATTCCTAATGTTACCTGCAAACAACCTACACCAAGGACGCCATTAATAGCTAGGCGAGCCTGGGGTGGAAGATTAAGGCGGCGCGAATATAACCATAAGGCCACGATTGCGCTCAAAGTCGTCATAGCCTAAAGACATAATGATCAACAATTAAAATATTAAATGAGAATTTAAATATTAATATAACTTACGAGAACACGGTGATCAAATTGCACAGTTGTGGGGTTATCGAAAAAATTTCGCCATAAACTGCTATCGCCAGTCTTTGAATAAATGCTTGAAAAAAGCTCTGACTTTGGAGGAACAATATTTTGCCCCATATACGGAAATTCATTATAGATTAGACCTGCGTCTAAGCCAGCAACGAATGCTCCTTTCATAAGAGTGATCACGTTATTAAATGTACAAAATTAGAGACGTAAGCGTACTATATGACTGCTTACCTGACATAGAGGTCAGAAATATTAGTGCAGCTAATCCAATAGTGCAATGACGGAATTTTTTGAGTGCGGGATTCGAAAGAGCTTCGATGACGGCCTTCATTTCAAATCAAAAATATGTTACTAATAGTGATAATTAGTTATATAACCATTTGTTATTACCTTGGGGAAAGTCCCACTTGCAATTTTTGCATCTTGAACAATCTTTAAGCCAGTTAAAAGCATGCCCGCATAAAGAAGAAAAGCGCTACCTAAATGTGCCGCCAGGCGATAATGACTAACACGAGCAACGGCCTGAGGCGTTGACAATAATTCCTCGGAAAGTCC